ATTTAATTGATATTTTTATATATATTTATCTTATTATTTATAAGAATACAAAAAATACACAGTATTATTACAAAATATAACGAACAAAAATAGTATTCATATGAATCATATGACACATACGTATAGTATTGTTTAATATCCAATTAATTTAAATCAAGAAGATCTTATTCAAGGATTATAAATGAGCAGTATGTTCTGCACCATTTTCATGCTCTAATGCAATTTCTAGCTGCATGCTGATATCCAAAGCAACAAAAGCTACAACAATTAATACTGGTAGACGAAATCTTGACTTCCATCCTAGTTTTAACATAAATATCAATGCACGATGGAGGATACCACCACTACCAAGATAAACTGCTGATGTCATTCTGCGTGTAACTTATATACATTTACAATGACTTAATTTGTCACAAGAAATTATTATTCGAACTTGAATGGCATTGTTAGATTATTTTCATAGATAAAAGTTTTTTAAAGCTTTTATGCATTTTAAAGCAATTTTTCTATTATTGATCAATTATTGAATTCCATATAATGATATATGCATCCATATTATTATTTATATTCATACAACCTGAAATAGTCCAAAACCACCATTTAAATGATTAATCAAAGTTCTTGTTGATCAATTGTTAATAAATTTTTTTTTATTATATCTGTAATTGTTGTTTGCGAATAATATCTGTGTATGTTTTGGTGTTTTCTATTCAATGTTTTTTAATGTAAGACGATGAAAACTATAACTGCAAACTGCAAGAATAAATACTTATATACCAAGATTTTAATACCAATAAATACAGAAAAGAATAAAAACCAAACAAGTTTTGAAGTGCTTACCTCTAAATACGAGTAATATGTCTTCTTAAAAGATCACTAAAGTATTAATGAAAAAACCAATGTAAAATGGTTGTATTTATGAATCTCCGGATTATTCCAAGAGTTATTTACTATTTTTATTTGTACTTTTCTTTTCTCTTTTTTCTTTTTTTTTACATGATAGTCGTAATCAGTGGTGGTAACTTAAAATATCTTCAGTAATATTTAAATTGCCAATTTGACGTATTAAAAAATAGTACTCTAGGATTAAAATTATCTAAATAATTTTTCTTATATATCTTTTTATGTAATATGTATTAAATGTATCAATTTTTTTACGTTTTATCAAGTAAAAATATGAAAAAAATCATATTCCATTTAATCATATTCAAATTTCAGCAATAAGAAAAATAGGAACTTTTGTAATTCTATGATTGGCTCCAAAAAATCTCTTTGATTCAAATAACATCGCAAGTAGTTGATAATCAATGATATTGCGTATTCCTGGTTTTAAATTTAATGAGAATTTGCATTTCTTTAAAACTGGTAACAAAAGGCTCAATTAGTAAGGATAAATGTTTATTCGGTTTGGTTGTAATATATTCATTTTTATAAATATATTAAATTAATTATGGATAATACAGAAGTAGTCAGGTCAGTTGATAATTATTCATATTTTCATTATTTTTAGGTTATAATTGCAAACTACAAAGATTTATTGTTTACTTTGATTTATGTGTGTTTCAGTACAAAAATGGAAAATGGAGGGAAGGAATTCGTCGCCAGACCATATCAAATAGATCTTTATGAAACAGCATTGAAATCTAACACTATTATTTATTTGCCGACTGGTACGGGAAAAACATTTATAGCAATGATGCTTCTTAAGAGATTAAGTACAGCTGTACAGAAGTATGTAATAATTATTTCTTTTTCTTTCTTTTGTGATTGATTTTATTCATTATCATTAGTTTGTTAATAACATACCAAAAATAAGCTTTTATATTCTTTTTTTAGACCTTATAGCGAAGGTGGTAAGAGAACAATATTTGCAGTTAATACAGTACCTTTAGTAGTGCAACAATCTGAATATATTGCAAGACATACAGGTTTATCATGTAAGGGATATTGTGGTGATATGAATGTCGATTATTGGACAAAAGAAATATGGTTAAAAGAATTGGAAGAACATCAAGTACATATATAATACTTATATATTTATATATATATATATATTTCTTTTTGTTTTTTGAGTAATGTTAATATAATTGCGAAATATTTATTAGGTTTTAGTAATGACATCTCAAATATTGGTAGATATTATTACTCACGGATACTTAAGTTTAAATAGAATTAATTTGATTATCTTTGACGAATGTCACAGAGCAGTAAATGATCATCCTATGCGACAAGTTATGCAGCAATTTGAACAATGTGATGCCAAAGAGCAACCTAGAATATTAGGATTGTCAGCAACTTTACTTAATTCTAACGTCAAATTGACTAATATTATAGATTCGATTAAGGTAATAATGAATAATAAGTTATGAGAGAATCTTACATCCTATAAATTATCAACATATCAACAACAACAAATTTTTAAAAAACATATAAAAGAAAATAAGTATAAACATGAATGCATCTGTGATACAAATCATTTTATATTACAGAATTTAGAAATAACATTTCATTCAAAAATAGCAACAGTAGGAAATATAAAGGGATATTCTACGAACCCGAAAGAAGTTTTTGTTTACTATGAAAAATATATTATTTCAGAAAGTTTGGACAAATTGATTAAAAAATTAGCAAATTTAAAAGAATCTTTAAACCTTTTGTCTTTACCATGTTCTAACTCCAATAAATCAAGTAAAGAGTTTAAAGCAAAACCAATAAATGTAAAACTTCAGTCTATTATCGAAGACATTATAGAACATGTGGAAATGACAGGTAATTATGGCCAATAATAGAAATAAATAATATATAATTAAAGTTAATTATTTATTATTTAAATACGTTTATTTCCAGGTATATATGGCGTTAATAAGTGTATTTTATTACATTTAATCCAATTAGAATTCAAAAAGAGGATCATTGAGGATGAAGTATGTATATTAAGAAGATTATATTATATTGATTTAGCAAGTATAAAATTAATGTGCTATTTCTTTCCAGGATACAATATTTATCTTTGATTATTTAATAACTGAATTATTTGCAATAAGAAAAATTTTTGATGATGAAATGAGAGTTTATACAGATCAATATAAAATAATCAAGTAAGCATATATTAAGACTTTTATTAACATATTTTTTTAAGTGTATATGTATATATATATGTATAAATATGATTTTGTAAATTACAGATTTGTATCAGATCAAGTCCTCAAACTTATCAGATTATTGAAACATTTCAATGACAATAAGTTACTCGATCAAAAATTCTGTTCCATTATTTTTGTAAAACGTAGATTTACCGCTAAAGTATTGTATCATATTTTAAAGGTAAGAAACGAAATTAAAAATAACATTCTTAGTTAATTCATTGAAAAAAAATATAACTGAAATTTTTCAATTTAAAATAAAATGTTTTTATCAAATTTATCTTTCAAAATATTTTATTTTGTTTTCTGAATCTAATAAATAATATTTTCTAATTTTATCTTTTAATATCTTTGTTTTAATTTGTTTATTTTTTAAATGTAAGTGCAGTGTTCAGGCTAAATTTCTGCAATATATTGCTTATATTATATAAATTTTACGACTGTTTTAATTGATCTTCTGTTATCATATTAAAATATCTGCCTGTAATTATACTTTTCTTTTGCTTATTTTTAGGATTTACACGCTACCGATGAAGAATATAAATTTTTGATTCCGGATTATGTGGTAGGGTTTAATAATGATCCTTTCAAAAATTCTAAAGAAGTTTTGTGTATTTCTAAGTGGAACAAAGAAGTTTTACAAAGGTTTGTCATTTACTTATATTATTTTGTATATATTATTTCTCTGATTACAAATTTTAACATTTAGTCAGAATATTATATTATATTATTATAATATTAATACATTATAACATTCTTACAGATTTAGAAATGGATTAAGTAATTGTGTCATAGCAACAGATGTTCTTGATGAAGGGATTGATATACCTATCTGCACACTTATAGTGCGTTTTGATATTCCAATAGATTTCCGATCTTATATGCAAAGTAAAGGACGCGCTCGTCATTCGTCAAGTCAATATGTTATTATGTTAGATAGAAATGATAATAGTTATATCAAGAAACACAAACTATTTAAAGATATTGATGCATCCTTAGAACAGGTATGTCATAATATAGTATTTTTTTATATAAATATTGTAATGCTTCCCGGAGAAGTAACACTCCCGCCCAAACTCAGATTACGAAAGATTAACAAAGAACTTTATTTATGGAACTCCAGTACCCGTTAAGGGTTTTTCTACAATTTTCCGTAAAATATCACGTCCGTTCTTTTCGAGTTCCTGTCAAGATCTCCCCGATCAACAACTCGTAGCCTGGAAACGGCCTTCACGTCCTTTTTCCAAGGACGGCTCAAAACAGGGTCGTAACAATATATATACTGGCCAACGGCCTTGCCTTGTTGAAAAAACTAGTTCCTATTCGATCACTAAAGTTAAATAATGATTGACACAGTTAGTATTTGAATAGGTAAATTTAGAACATTGTATACTGTTGACTTTAGAGAAAGACATCAAGGGTGTGGAAAAGTGTTGTTAAGATTATTCAAACCCATAAAAAGGAGAATAATAGTAATAACATGTATATATACATTACGACTGAAAGTTTGAATATACCTTTATTGGATTTGCATTACACACAGTTATATACTAGCTATAGGTTTCCATTTTATTAACATTCCTTTATTTTTAGATGCATTTTATATAACTTTACTTTTATCCAAATACATTGCATCCCTACTTTTAAGTAATAAGCTTTCACGGTCACTTATACTGTTTATGATATCACATGACAATACCTTAGGCGTTTAGCTTTGTTTTTGTTTACATGTATAAGATCTTTCACAAACTGAGGTCGTGATGTCTCAGTAGATTGTTTACCTCTACTACAATTAGATATAAATGAAACGATAAGAAATTAGTAGCTTTAATTAACATGTATTCAAAAATTTTGTCGGTTATCTATATAACCGTTTTATTATAATAAATAAAAATAATTATTCACATCATTGCATGCTTGCTGAACCTCACTAATGACTTTAGTTATCCGTTAAAATTAATTTACTTAATATTAGGATTATATTATTTGCTTTTGTATAAATTCCTCTCATCTAGTATATATGAAATTATTAATTTTATCCTAATTTTATTATATTCAGATTTTAGTAGGAAAATCGGATCTTCGGGAAAAACCTACTGAAAAGGAAATTGAGGAATATTTATATACTTACACAATCAATCCATATGTAATAAAAACTAAGGATGGCGTCGTCAAAAGTGTACTAACAGAGCAAGCTGCAATTTCTTTAGTAAATAAATATTGCAGTGTATTGTTGAAGTCGAAATTAGTATCCTTAGTTCCAATTTGGAAGTTGCATACAATTGAAGACAAGTACCAGGTATTCCCATTACATTAGTTTTATTAAACAAAGAAAAGGAAAAGAAGAATTCTAGTTAGATATTAACTATATTTTATTGGCATATATGTATAATACAATAAATTTCCTAGGTATCCCTTCAATTACCAATCATATCTACATTAAAAGACATAACATTTGGAGATATTATGTCTTCTATAGATGCAGCTAAAAGATCTGCTGCTTTTAAAACTTGTGTTAAATTGTATGAAATTGGTGAATTATCCGACAATTTATTGCCGACTGTGAACGAAATAATACACGATACAGATCATCTATTTCCAAATTGGATAGAGGAAAACTGTAACAACACAAGCGGTACTGCTAGAAAAAGAAGATCTTATGAAATTCATGTAATTATTCAACTACTACTATTATTATTTTTATTAATTTCATATTTCTTTGGACGTATGTATTATTATTAATACGCCGTCCAGCACTTCATAAGCTCCCTTCGTGATCCTCGCCACTGTCCCTTCATAGCCTGAAACAACTTCTCTAAATTTCGAATCCAAACTGGTCTTGGTTAATCCCACAGCTTAACTCGCTTCTTATTTATCCCAAACGAGCCTCCAAAACTGTAACACTTCTTAGAAACGGGTTAAAATAAGAACAAAAACTTTATTAGTGCTAATAACAACAATATAATAAGCATAGTCCCTTTTAGAAAATCCCTCGTACTCTTTACTAATATGTCCGCACGCCGCGGCTTCCCGTCTAGATTTCTCTGAAGTTCCTACCATGAACAAATGGGTCGTCTGGAAACAACCTTCTCGCCCTTCTTCGCAGGGCGACTCAAGCCGGCTCGCAACAATATATATCTAGTTTTATAATATAATTTATCTTAAATAAAATAAATAGTAACTTATAAAATATTATAAAAGTTAGATGAGAGAAGAAGTGTTAATAAAAAATTTATTTTTTTTATAGCATCCAGAGTCGTTATTTGGTGCATATCCTTCAGCAGGAACTGAATTATATCTTCATATTCTCAATTTTAGTCCAGCGTATTCAGTACCACAAGATAATAGAAATTTAATATTTTATAATTTATTAAACGATCCAGCAGGATTTGGAATACTTTCAACGAAATCAATTCCAAAGGTAAATAAATATTCTTTTCCTTCTTTTTATTACGACTTCGTCCTGTTATAATAGCTTTTTTATTGCTATTTCTGGGAGCGATTTATTGTTTTTACCGAGGGTAGGTTGCTAGCCTCACCCTCGAACCCTCTCCTTTTGTCTGGGTTTGGGACCAGCTCTAGATGTTAAATAGGCGGAGTCTTTGTGTCAATGGTACACGGTATTACCAAGCGGTTCACCTATCCAAGTACTAACCGTGCTTGACTTAGTGATCGAACGGGAATTAGTGCTTTCAGCGCGGCATGGTTGTTGACTAAATAAATATTCAAAGCTAATAAATATACTATATTTATAAAGATTTGTATATATGTGTAAATTTAAAAAATCTTATTTATTTTGTATTCATTAGATTCCATCATTTCCTATCTTCATGAATGTTGGAGAGCTAAATGTTAATACTAAAGTTGATTATGCAAGATTAGTTTTAACTGATGAACAGATTGAGGAATTAAAAACTTTTCATACCACAATATTTAGTAAAATTGTACTTGCAATTAAAGAATTCATGACATTTGATATTGATAATCTTGATAATTGTTTTCTTATTGTACCAAGTAAGTAACAAATATACCTTCTCTTTTTTTGCATAATTTAACCCATAGAAAATATTGTATTTATTACTAAACTTCTTTTTTTTTACAGCTGATAATGAAAACAAAATAAATTGGAGTGTTGTTAAGAAATACAAATCTATCAATTATACTAAATGTCTTGCATCGTTAAAACCTTCCGATTACGAGTTAGCATTGATTGTTCCTAATTATAGAACATATCCAAATGTATATATCGTCACACAAGTATGTGATGACCTTGTACCCAATTCATGTTTTCCGGGTTGTGATTTTTATACTTATGTTGAATATTATGAGGAGAAACATGAGTTGAAAATACAAGACTTAAACCAATCAATGTTAGAAGTAAAATCAATTTCAAACAAAATTAATTGTATAAAACCAAGGTATGTATAATTACTATGCATGAAAAGAGAGAATAGAAAATTTGTTAAATTTATATAATGATGGATATAATATACATTTTCGTACATTTTTACAGATCTATGAAATCTGGTTTAAGTAAACGAAAACGTGCAGATGCACTTGAAGATTATGATGAACATTTAGTACCAGAACTGTGTTCTAAAATTGAATATCCTGCATTGTATTGGCTTAAAGCAACCACATTACCATCGGTTCTTCATAGAATTTCACAATTTTTAATTGCATTAGATTTAAGAGAGATTATTGTTCAAGAGGCAAAGCTGGGTATTTCAATACATGATCTTAAATCTCATGATTGGCCTCCTTTGATTATAGATGCACAAGAATCTCCAACTAAATCAGAACAGGTGTTAGAAAGTGCATTAGATGAAGTTATAGAAACTGAACAGCCAGTACCAGATTTGAATGGACCTGAAATTGATGGTATTCTATGATTTTTAAAATTATTTAACAATATATAAGATATGTATATGTTTTAAGACATACTTTATTGTATATAGTTCTAAATACCGATGCAAGTCTGTATCCTTGGTCAAAAGAACAAGAACCATCAGATTTAGAGAGAAATGCTGATCAAATACAATTAATCGATATCCAATATTACCATAATTTTATGTATGCTCCCACACTAGAGGTAAAATCATATATATATATATATACACACACAAGATAATTACAAATGATTCATCGGGCTGCATTAGGATTGCCTTAAGATTACGTCTGGGGTCTTCTTTTTTTCATGTCATTCCGTTTTTTATTAGTAATATTTAATAAAATACAATTTTTAAATTTTGATGAATCATTTTAACTGTCTTGTGTATATATATGTATTATATATTAAATTTTTTTATTTGTAATTATTATAGGAATCTGCAGAACGTAAATTCAAAATAATTAGTTATTCAAGTAAACCTGATGTATCAGTTCCAACTTTAAAAATACTAGATAAAAATTATAATAATATAGGACCAGACCCAGTACTAATAATACAGGTAAATAAAATATTAAATTCCAATTTATATATGTTACCGTGAAAGACCGAAGTTGAAAAATGTCAAGATTTACTACATAGTCGTTTGTCACACATATCAAATACATCGGTGAAAGACTGAATATTTGGATTTATTTCTATACATTAATATTTCGGACATACACCAAGAGACCATGTGAATCCTGATATTCTCCATTTTTGGTCTTGTACGGTAACATATATATTCCATAAAATTGTTGTAACAATAATAATAATAATGATAATAGTATAACTTTTTATTATTTTTTCAGGCGCTTACAACTGCCGGAAATGATGTATTTGATTTGGAAAGATTAGAAACTTTAGGAGATTCTTATTTAAAATTTATTTCATCTTTATATTTATATACCCACTATCCAACTTATAATGAAGGTCGTTTGACTGCACTTAAAGGAAAGATAATTGGAAACCGTAACTTATATTATTGTGGAACAAAAAAGTCCATCCCAGGATACATGAAAGTTGACGACTTTATACCACTGAGCACGTTTATCCCTCCGGCTTATACAGCATTTCGTCCTTTACAAAAAATTTTATTAGATAACAAGGTTTTGATTTCTTTCTTTTCTTTTAATTATATATATATATTTTATTAATTAATATTATACTTTTGTTTTCTCTATCTTATTTATTTTAAAAATGAATTGGGCACTACTTTTCTATAAAAGGTATCACCGAATGTGTTGTACGACATTGAAATACCCGAAGTAGAAAGATTCTCTGGATATATAAGCGGAGATACAAAAAATAATATGCAAGCAAAAGTTTTGAATTCGATTGATGCAGACACTCAAACAGGTATTGAGTATTTCTTAGGTATGCAAGTAATTTCAGATAAATCTATTGCAGATTGCGTAGAAGCATTAATAAGCGTGTATCTAAAGGTAAGATTATTTTACTATTTAATATTATTGCATTGTTGTTTTTATTATTATTAATAATATTTTTTATACTATTATTATTTACTTAAACAGAGTATGGGATTGGTAGGAGCTGTTAAATTAATGATTTGGCTTAATATTTTGCCTTCCAATACTGATATTCACTCATTATTATATAGTGTTTCACAAAAGCCAGAAATTGGTTTAGTAGATCCAAATCTATATATGCCATGGGCTGACAAACTAGAAACCAATATGGGTTATAAGTTTCAAAACAGAGCATATTTGTTACAGGTAATTTAAGACGCTAATAATCTATTTATCTTTCTTTCTCTCTATCTCTCTCTATCTCCCTTTCCAAACAGTAATAATAATTTTTAAATATATTAACAATTATAATTTTATATGTTATAGTCAAATATTGATAAAATATATTTATATTTTTATAGGCCTTCACACATCCATCTTTCACAGAAAATAATGTAACAGAAGGTTATCAAAGATTAGAATTTTTAGGTGATGCTATTATTGGTAAGAATGAGGAAATTTATATAAATTTATTATGAATATGTGTATATTTGTATCTTTCATATATATTTATTATTTTATTCTAAAGCATAATTATTTTTCTCATTTCATTTCAGATTTCTTAATTACTGCTTACATTCATCAAAATTGGGAATCATTAAATCCTGGCCATGTTACAGATCTGAGATCTGCACTTGTAAATAATATTACATTTGCATGCTTAGCTGTAAAGTACGGTTTGCATACATCTCTTTTGGCCTACGCTCCGCAATTAAATGATGTTATTGATCGATTCGTTAAATTTCAAGAAGAAGGAAATCACACGGTTAATAACGAGGTAAATTAATCATATCTCTTAATCTACATACCGATATGGATAATATAAAAATATAATTTCTCTCTTCTTCTGTTTTATTATATATTTTTATTTGAAAATTCCTTAAACTCGTAGAATAATTTATAAAATTTTGATGAATTATTTTCTTACAGAATCTCTGGATCTTACTTAAAGAAGACGAATGTAATATGGCTGAATATGTTGATGTCCCTAAAGTTTTAAGCGATATATTTGAATCTTTCATAGCAGCTATTTATATGGATACTGGCAAAGATATTAAAAAAGTCTGGGAAATTTTATATGCTCTTATGCACAAAGAAATTGGTACGTTTCTGAGAACCGTTTTCATTATCCAGTAACTAGTATTTTTTCTTTATTTTTTTTAAGTTGACTTTTTTTTATAATATTATGAGCGCATATGATTCCTATTAACCAAAAGAATTTTATATATTTTTACAGATACCTTTAGTCAAAATATTCCAAAGCAACCTGTACGTTTAATCTATGAGAAGCTAGGATCAAATGCTAAGTTTTTGTAAATTTCATTTTAGGATGGAACTTTATTTTTCTTTTTTATGAATAGTATAAAATAGTTTTTAATTTTAAAATTATTTTTTCTAGCTCCGCTACTATAGTAGAAGGTACAAATACTATTATGGTACCTTTAGAAATAATAACCAAAAGGGTAACAAAAATTTTTCATGGATTTGGTGCCAATAAAAAGCAAGCTAAATGTGCAGCAGCAAAACAGGCTTTGAAGTATTTACGTTGTAGAAATGAATAGCTATAAAAATAAAATATATGTTTATATATATTATTATCTGGTAATTGGACAAAACAATAAATTCTATTACGTATGGTAATTATTTCGATGCATTTTTTAAAAATTAGTATTTATTTGTAAAGTAATCATACATCTGTTATTTTTTTAAATAGTTTCCATTATTTTCAAAGACTTTGACCCATCTTTCAGACAACTGTCGAATTCCTTGATGAAAAAAGATGAAGATTTTTTTGCAATGAATTTAATAACAATGCTTAATAACCCTAATTTAAATAAATATATACTTTAAACTGCTTAAAATTATATATAACATTTATACTCTTTATTTATATATATACATACTTATACTCATAAATTTTATTATTAATAAATTTTAATACACGATTATATATTTAAACAGAGTAAACTTATATAAATGCTTAGTTATATTTACATTCAATTTAATTTTCATCTTTCCTTTTTTTCAAAGACGGTCGATCAAAAACTTGTTTCATTCCAGCAGCTTGATTATTATGAAACTTAAGATTTTGGGCAGTTTCTGATATCCAAGGTGAATCAAATTGGGTAGTATCTTGATCAACTAAATGAGTATATTTAGTTCTACCACTACGACCAAAGTTTTTAACTTGCATTACTTTTGGTAATATTGTTTTATCAAAGTGATCTTCCAAAGTAGCACCGGAGAAGTCTCTTTTAAATATGTTATCATCTTTGTCTAAGTAGAAGGCACCACGATGATAATATTTCTGTAAAAATTTATATTTTCCTTTAGCAGCTTTGTTAGTTATTACTTTTGGATTTAATCGAGCTTCTTGTCTACGCTCTTCCTCCGTCATATTACGTATTCGTTCAATTTCTAATCTTTCCTTTTCAATTTGTTCCCTTTCTTCTCTATCTCGTTTAATTCTTTTCAATTCTCTTAATTTCCAAGCTTCGTATTCGACTTCATCGTTTTCATCATCTGTACAAACGTCCTCGAGCTTTCCCTCTTGCTCGTTGTTAGTTTTGTTTACTTGTGTCTCTTTTCTAATAGCTTCTTCTACCATACGGAAAGTTTGCCTTTTCCTTTCTTCAGCTAATTTTTTTGCTTCTATTTCAGCTTGTTTCTGTTTCATAGCTTCTTTTTCTTTTTCCATAACAGTAATTCTATCCTTTTTTCTAACAAAAACTGGCTTAAGTCTTGGGCCAGTTTCTTCTTCCGAATCTGTGTATTCCTCATATTCGGAGCTTTCTTCGGTACTGTCGCCAGATCTTTCATCTTCTTCTCCATGTAACAATTCTTCTTCTGTCTCTTTTTTCGATAATACTCGTTGTTTCAAGGCTTCGCGTCTTCGCTCTATCTCCGAGTCTGATAATTCTTCATCTTCTGAAGAGTCTGAACTTTCTAATTTGATCCTTTCACGTGATCTTTCTGGTTCTACCTCAATTAATTCTGGTTCATGGATATGTCTTTGTCTTTCAATATTAGATTCCACAGTTGAATCTCTTTGTCTTTCTAATCGTGTTAATCTCCTTAAGCGTGGATCATCTTCGTCTCTTATTTTAACTGCTTGAGCGGTATGTGGAATATCAGTAATGGTTTCATTATCATCATAATTTTTGTGAACACGCTTTTCTAGAAAATCTTCATCTTCTGATTCTTCTTCTGAACTAGCCACTGGAGCATAATCAGGACGCTTACCAGATACATAACGATGAACTTTTACTTTTTTCATAGAAAGTTCACCTATAAAAATAGAAAAGAATACATTTAATAGAAATATAAAGTATTAATCAAAGACTAATTACTTAACATATAATTTTATAATATATATATATATTTTTTTGTTAAAAATCTTTTGAAAAATATTATATCATTATAACGAACCTTTATCATTTTTTACTGGTACAGCACCCGCTGTACTTTGTATTCCCATAGGTGCGGGTGCTAAAGAATTATTGGTTACAAAATAATCCATCATCATTTTGACGTTATTGTTGAAATTACAATTATTAAATTCTCTTTTTTCTCCACTTTTTTTCTTCGTAAAATTAAAACCACTACGACACAAGCTTTGACTAACTATAATTAATTACAATTCATACGAAAGGAAAACTAGGGTTTACAATATTAAAATTTAGATGGCAATGTGTACCATAAACTTGTGGCCGTCACGCCAAAGCTTGGCGCCTCCGGTACTCTTACCGTCACGCCTCTAGTGGTGAAACTAAAGAACTAAAAAAACACCACGTTGATGAACAACCGCTACTATTCGCTCTTCCGTTCCAACCACCGAGTGAGACACACGCGTACTCACGAGCAGCAAACAAAGACGTGAAACTAGTCACTACTTCCTTTTTCCTCTTTAAGATTTTGTTAAGTTTATTACATATTTTGTACAGGTCCTTTTTGATACGTTTATAATAAAATATTCATATAATATTTTTCCCCAGTGAATTAATTATTTTTGAATATTATTGAACACGCTACAAACTTGTGGGGAATATCCCACATTTCGGCGCTTCCTCATGAACGTGTAAAGGCGCTTCACACTCGCCGTCCGACAAACAGCTAATGAGAATGCTTCACACTCGCCGTCTGACAAGCGACCAATGAGAACACTGCATACGCAACATCCGACATAACATAAATAATTTTCTATTTAATTATTTTTTCTAATCTTCTCTTTTTCTTCGCGACAATCCTGAATTTGTGTTGGCAACTATGATTGTTAGAAACAAAGTTAACTACCATAAATTGAGTTAAGAACAATTTTGTTTTCTTAAATTTGTGCATTGTTTTTATTTACAACAATTTACAAGTACTTTTTTTTCAAATGGCAGATAAAGTATGTTTGATGAAATGATTTAAATTCGCTTGATCATTTTTTTGTGCGTGAAACATATTTGATTTTTATTCTTGTATATTGTAGATTTAAAACTCAAAAAATATTTTAACATACTTTTTTTCAGGAAGAATTACAAATGTTACAAAAAACGTACAATGATTTACAGGACTATTATTCTCTTTTGAGGCTAGTAAGAAATGATATAGAAAAAATGATAAGCAACTTCTCGTGTGCACCTGGTAAAAAATTTATAACATTATTTTAATTAATATTAGTAAATAGAAAACTTGAATTAAACTATTAGTAAGAAATATTTGGTTTATTATTTGTATTCGTATATAATACATAAAAAAAATAGTAATATTTAAATAATAAATATATTCATTATTTAATATAATATATAGAGTATTTTGAATATGTGTGTCCTACTTCAGGAGTGGACAGAAGATACAAAACAATGACAAAAATTCGTACAAACATGTCTCCTCTTATTTGAATTTGTTTCAAAGTTATAGCTACTTTTATATTTCAATAATTTGCAACAATTTATTTTCATAGAAGGTTCTCAAAAAGATTTGAATTGTATACACACAGTCGTCGTCTCATCGAATTCCATAGCTCTGTTAACAGTCTTCTTGTATATGTGCTGCAAGTTTTTTAATGCTGACAATGGGTGTCGAATACAAAATTGTTTTTAAATGAGCTCAGAAATAAAAATCGAATTATGCACATGTAACTTCCAACGTGCACAGCAAATAGAAAATAATGAAGTACCTCTAGTTTGATAACCAAGCAGTATTGAAATTAAACTGATTAAACCAAGATGACTAAATTTAATTAACTGAATGTATGACATTGACAAAGACAAGAAATATCCTCTAGCTATAACTTTGAAACAATCTCAAATAGGATACATATTTATATGAACTTTTTTACTTCCAAAGTGGCTTCCACATATTAAAAAACACCTAGTATATATACAATTTCATTTAATAAATGATTTTATTACTAATAGAACAAAAGACTATTGAAATATTTGTAAAAAATAAATAACATTTCTTTTTTTATCATCTTGACGCAAAGATAGATAAATTTAACAAGCTTGATCAATTAAATTTTAAATAACTTTACAAACTATATATTTTGTTTGGAAAAACTTTAGGTATGTTTTAAAATGAATAATACAAAAATATGTCCAATTAATTAAAAACAATGTATTGTTTCAGATTTTTTCCCAATACAAAAAGACGTTAAAGCTGGAGTTATTAAAAAAAGGAAAAAAATTCCAAAATAGCGTAATAAACCATATTAAAAATATCGAATACGATAAAATAATCATATATTTTTATTCATTTTTGGAGAAAGATGTAATAATACTACTGATCTTTGTAAATTGTCGTTTCTCTTAAAAATTTTTTTCATTAATATTTTTTATTCCCCTTTTTGACAAAGTATTAAAAAATCATAAACCTAAAATTAAATGTAAAAATGATCTCCAAGTGTTTCTCATATTACTTTCGAAATATTATTAGCTGTTTTAATAAATTTTACATTTTACAAAATACTTCCAATATACAATTAAATATTAGCAAGAGAAATATTAAATTGCAATGTTATAACAGATCTAAAGAGAACAAAATAAATGAAGAACGCAAACAAAATAATATTATGCGTCCCTCACAATCTTATGAATATAATATTTTTGGTAATCGTATGGTCGACTTAAATGTTTGTATTATTGGTGGAGGTTTGTCTTCTATTTATACAACAGTTCTTTTGAAACAATCTCGTTTTATAAAAGATATACATTTAGTTGATTTAAGTGGAAAATTAGCTGGTACCATTTTGGATGCAAACCATATTGATACTACCATTCGTATAAAGTATTTTACTAAAAAATTAATCAGTAAAGCCTTGGTAAAAGTACGTTATTATAATTATGAAATATTATAAATATAATAATAATGAAATATAGAAAAATCAATTATAATTTATTTTTAGACAAATATTGTTGCACTTATGGATGAGACGGATTTTAATATCGACAAAGATCCATATGTTCAACTTAATAAGTGCTCAAAATATATTCATCAAATAGTGGAGCATATAATCGCAATTTGCCCTACAGCACTTGTAGTAGTTTTTACAAAACCTGTAACAGCAACGTTATCGATGGTATCAGAAATTTATAAACATGCAGGCAAATGGGATCCAAATAGATTGATTGGTTCAGTTTCTACAGAAATAATGCGAATCGAAACGATAACTGGGAATATATTAGATTTGAATCCTGCATTTATAACAATTCCAATAGCTGGAGGAGCTGATTTAAATACTATTGTTCCACTTTTATCGTGCACCAAGCCTATCAATGAATTTACAAGTGTACGAGTATAAAATATCTTGTAATATTTTAAAACTTTTTCTTTTTTTCCTTTCGTGTAATAGTAAAATATAAATAATCATATATTAATTGTTTAGGATCAAAGTAATGCATTGATAGAATTATTTCAAGCAACCAAACAAGATCAAATTAATTTTAAAGTGAATAATTTAGCTCTCTTAGATGGATTAGCTGCAGCAAAGTTAATCTTGACTCTTGCCGGTGGTTTAAACGATTTCGATAATGTTTATGCATGTGCATTTGTACGTTCAAATGTATTGCCAGTATGTCGTTTCTTTACATCTCAATTACAATTTGGGATGGGAGGAATAAAGAAAAATTTTGGTTTACCAAAAGTTTCATCTTTGGAAGTTAGTATGATCGAAAGAGCAATTCCAATTATTAATGAGTACATAGAAATGGGAATGAAGGCTTCTAATTGTAAATAAAAAAAATCACATTTAAAATTTTTATTTATTTATTATTAATATTTTACAGATAATTTCTATTGTTATTCAAGGTTTCTAAATTTAAAAAGTATTATCTTTCACCATATTAATATTAATCAAATATTAAAAAGATTATTTTAATATTATATGTATATATATATATATATATATATAACTTTCAGTCATTCAAATTTCGTG